GAGCAGGTCACCTGTCCATTGACTCCTGAGTCGCGGTCGGACACGCTGATCAGGGCTATGACTGTGCCAAGTGGAGAGTCTTCTAATACAGGTAAAGATAGTGATTTGATAACCAACTCAGGTGCATTATCATTGATGTCCACAATTTCCAGTAGAACTGTGCAGTGATCTGACATTGGGGGATTTCCTTTATCCGTGGCTTCTACCTGGATTTCATATGACTTACTTTCCTCAAAATCTATGTTACCCTTTACACTGATGTGTCCATTGACTGGATCTAAATGGAATTTTGACAGAATATCTGCTGATACGTCCGTATTGAAAGAATATACAATATCTTTATTTACTCCTTCATCCAAATCAGTGGCGTTAACGATCACCACTAGGGTACCATTTGGTGCATTTTCGAATAATCTGACTTTATAGATCGTCCTCTCAAACACTGGGGCGTTGTCGTTAACATCCAAAACAGTGATCTTTAGTTGAGTCGTGCCAGTGAGTTCTGGTTTCCCACCATCAATTGCTGTTATTAGTAAATGATACTTAGGCGTGTCCTCACGGTTTAAATTTTTTTTCAACACGAGTCCAAGAGATTTAATTTCCTCATCATTTCTTTTAACGTCCAAAGTAAAATATTCAGTGGAATCAAGACTGTAAGTCAACAACGAGTTTGTTCCGATATCTGCATCTGACGCGCCCTCTAGCGAAAACCGAGAGCCAGGCTGTCGGGATTCGGAAATAAACAGATTCTTTACAGCCACTGGAAAAACCGGCGCATTGTCATTAATGTCCTTCACTTCCACGTCCACATGGAAAACCTGCAGCGGCCTGTCCACGATCACCTCCAGGTGGATGCTACACTCCGCGCTCCGCCCGCACAGCTCCTCCCTGTCGATCCGAGAATTCACAAACAAAATGCCATTCTGTAGATTTACCTCAAGAAGGTCCCCGTGTGTTTTGGACGCCACCCGGAACAGGCGCGGCACCAGCTCCGCCAGCTCCAGCCCCAGGTCCTGGGCGATGCGGCCCACGAAGGTGCCGTGTTTGGCCTCCTCGGAGATGGAGTAGTGGAGCTGGCCGCTCCCCACCTCACAGGATGCGAGGAGCAGAAGAGAAAGCAGCAGGCACTGGGCTCCAGGATCTTCTCGCCAGGTGAACAACATTGCAAGCATTTTCCAAATATTAGATTGTCTTTACATTGATCCAAAATTTAAAAATAATTCGAGTTCCTTACCTTCATTTCTTAAACTCCTCGCCGTTACATTGTAGAGACGATGAAGCAAAGCAGCATCTGAATACGTAATGCACACTGTATTTCTTTTGCGGAGAAAGACCTTGTGGTGGACAGCGACACCATGTGGCTAAATTTGTAAGTATCAAATATGTAAATATATCTTCTTTTCCTTATACGTCGTTTGAACTTTCCCAAAATTTCTAGTTTCAGTTGTAATTTGGTCACTCTTTAAAATCCTTATATTTTATCTAAATGTTTCCTTAGAAGTTTTATACTGATCCACTATCAATTGTGCTAATTGATGACATACAGTAAAATATTGTGATTCCTGTTTCAACCGTGGACATCTACTGGAAATGTTTTCCATGTGAGAGCTACTTTTCTACTTCTCTTAATGGAATTATCCCATTAAATTCTTACAATCCTCTAAAATAGGTTTCAATATTATTTGCTTTTTACAAACACATAAAAGTTAAGTAAAACTATATTAACTGGTGGTATGATGGTATTTAAATCTGATTCAAGACACCTTACCGTTAACCTCTTTACCTCGCAAGCTACATTTGATAGAAAAACCAGATTCTTCCAGATCTATGACCATTAAAACATTGAGACATTGAAGTATTTGTAAAATGTGTGTGTGCCATATATATTAAAACATAAATATATCTACTTTTATATTATTACAGCAACTGTTAATTTTTAAAATATGTACTTTTGTTTAAATTTGTAGAATGTCTATAAATCACTCCCATGACGTTTTTTCAAGAACTATAACCTGGTCAACTGTCTTGACTGTTACTTACATAAAGATTTCAGAAGTCAGTCCTTTATAGAGAAATTCAAACAGGAAATTTGTTTCCTATTGCCGGAATGTGATTTGTATATTTGTTACATTCACATCACATAAAAGAAGAATATATTATGTTTAAATTTTTTCCACACTGTTTAGGTATTTGAATTTACCTGTAGATACTAAAATGTTAACAATATAAAAGAATTATGTTTTTGATTATCTTCACTCTGGATGAATCTCTAGATTCCAGTTTCCTTAAAAGTTGTTACTTGAAAGAATTGGCGATTTAACCAATCAGTAAAGAGAGAAAAGTAACATAGGTATATAAGTCAGTATTTACTCATTATATTTAATGCTATACAATAAAACATTCTAAAGATCTCTGTGAACTCAGTGAGAAGCATGAATTCTCTGAGCATTTAGAAGTGGAGCAAAGAAAATTTATGGAAAGAGGTCAAATTTAGAGAAATAAAAGAATGTATAAATTTTTGCTTATAGCCAGACCATTTAAAAATGAAATCAAACATGTGACTTAAATATTTGGGGGAAATGTTTTTATTCCAGCTTTTGTTTCCTATGTACTTATTGAATGGAGGCCAGGACTGCAACTTACTCAGATTTTATCATTTATATTTAGAATAGGATAAATTGTCAATTTTTTATGAATAAATAAATATTTTGAATTAACTTTTTCAAGCAAGATAAGTAAAAATGTAAGTTAAATTAATATCTGTCAATATCAAATGTTCATAATTTATAACTGATTCTGTTGTGCTATATTATGAAGAAGTAAACATTACAAATTATTTCTGAAAAGCATGGATATAGGAAATAATTATAGCTATTAATATTCCAGTTAGCACTTTGCTGAATTTTGAAAGATGGTAGCTAGCTTGAAAATAGCGAGATAAATTTAAAATATTAAAACTTTCTGGACTTTATATTAATGAGATGCCTTGACAACTTATTGTAATACTACACATTTCAGTACCTTTAAGAGTTATACTAATTGCAAAATGGAATGTCACATGAGAATTTATAACAGAGTAGACTCTATACTCACTATCAGGAGATGAAGGTAATATTAAAGGAAGTATGAGTTGAGAAGATTGAGCCATTGTGTAGAAAAAGTGTCAGTGAATAGTGTCTACTACCACCTAGACATCTTCTTAGACAACCAAGAAAAAAATGTAAATAAGAATTTTTTTAAATAATGTATAGAGCAACAGATTGTCACTCCTGGAGATTTGGACATGTATGAATATATAATTTTTAAAGCTTATCATTTACCTATGGTAGAAACATAGTGGTCAAGTATAACTTGGAAATGGATATTCTGACCTAACTATGAAATGGCTACAGGTAAGATTACTAGTGGAAATTATTTCTATGATTCATCAATACACACATGTATTTGGGGGAAAAAAAAGAGCAAATAGCTAAGAACCAAATAGTAGCAGACTGTTTAAGACAGTTATTTCATTGCAATACATCTTCCTTTGGTTGAAAAACCTAAAAAAAAATTCTTTCCAAGTGTAACATTTACTTGTCACGTTCAGTGTTTTAGTTTCCCAAAATAGAGGTTTCAAATAAAAATGTAGTCATCCAATACCTTTTGAGAAAACTCCAATTTTATTAGGAATATGGATACTTCCAGGTAAAACTGAGTGAGCTCATATTAATGAAAAACGTATTCCCAGGCACAGAATTAGATGCCAGAAGAAGGTGGTCAATCTCTGCAGTGGGAGGCCTGCATATATTGGCCTAATGATAATGATACTGGAAGGATGATTTATCAACCATTAACATAAAGACTGGATTACAGTAGCCTCCAATTAAATGAAGAAAAAGTCCCACCACCTGAATAACCCCAATGTGATTTTTAAATGTTAAGATTTTCAAATTAAACAAAATTGAGATGGTCTCTTTTCTCAATAAACTCTCTATTTTTGCTTGACAACTCAAAGATTCTGCAAGTGTGAAATCCTTATACCAAATAATAGGTTATTTTACTTACAAAAACATATTTAAGATTAGCAGTTATTCCTAAGTGCTGTGATTTTGTTGTAACAACCTGTGATAGATACTTTTGGAGATTCTGGCATTAAAAGATCCACTCAGGCTCAGGCTACTTTGAAATACAAATAAAAAGGCCAGGCGTGGTGGCTCACTCCTGTAATCCCAGAACTTTGGGAGACCAAGGTGGGCGAATCACTTGAGGCCAGGAGTTCAAGACCAGCCTGGCCATCATAGTGAAAACCCATCTCCATTAAAAATAAAAAAAAAAATTTAAATTAGCCAGGCATGGTGGTGGGTTCCTGTAATCCCAGTTACTCAGGAGCCTGAAGCAGGAAAATCGCTTGAACCCAGGAGGCAGAGGTTACAGTGAGCTGAGATCATGCCACTGCACTCCAGCCTGGGCAACAGAGCAAGATTCTGTCTCAACAAAAAATTTAAAAAGAAAGAAAGAAAAAAAGAAAAGAAAATGTAGCTTATTAACTATTGCATAGACAAGGGCATTATTGATCCAAAGAGCAATCTAAGAAATGTCCAAAATATAGTTTATTCCAAACCCTGTTTGACAGAACGGATAGACAGTGTCAATTGAAAATATTTATCATATAATCAAATTCTTTAATTTCTTCTGATTGTGATTTTCAATTTTTAAAAGAGAAAATGTTTATGGGCAATGTTTAATTTACAAATTATGCTGAGGTGTTTTTCAGTCTTTCAAGATCTATTACTCATGATTTAATGATGGAAATGTCAAAATGTAAACATAAGAAAAAAGTTAAGTAGATTGTTCAAACCGTTCACTAAATGCAAGAAATTGATCTCTAATTCATATTCAATATCGCACAGTAGGATGATATAAAATAAATGAAGAATTATGAATCTAAATAATAGAAATCATATAGAATTAAAAAAAACAACAACTTTAGAATTGGTAAGAAAAATTGAAAGACTCACCTTTCCTACATATTCTGATTCTGAGAGCTGTCTCTCTTCTGTGGAGTCTGGACCTTGAGATAAGCTGGGGCTGAAGGCCATGAGGTCAGTCTTGGGCGGGTCCTCCCCAGAGCACACCCTCTGCCGCCTCTGCTGCGAGTAAGACCAGCTCCCCACGGCGCTGGAGCACACCAACTTGGGCTTTCCCGGCGCGCACGCACCCTCGTTGGGCGGCACCGAGCACCGCAGCGCTGTGTACAGCAGCAGCGTGAGCACCAAAAGGCTGGATATCGAGCAGATAGCGATGATCAGGTACACGTTGACATCCACTAGCGCAGCCTCTGAGCCCGCGGCGCCCACCCACGCCCGCGACGAGACTTTGGGTGCCTGGCCACTTTCCACCAACGACACCAGCACCGTGGCCGTGGCTGTTAGCGCCGGCTCACCGTGGTCCTTGACCAGCACGAGTAGGCGGTGGCGAGGCAAATCTGCCTCCTCTAGGGCACGTGTTGTGCTGATCTCTCCCGTGTACGGCCCCACACGGAACGGAATGCGCATGCTGCCAGTCCCCAGCTGCAGCTCGTAGGAAAGCCACGCGTTGTAGCCTGAGTCAGCATCCACTGCCCTCACCTTCGCCACCACGTGGCCAGCACCCACTGACCACGGCACTACCTCGCTCACCGCGCCGGCAGCGGTGCCAGCCCTAGGCGCCAGCAGTTCCGGTGCGTTATCATTCTCGTCCAGCACGAACACCTGCAGCGTCACGTTGCTGCCCAGAGGCGGCACGCCCGCGTCGCGCGCGCTCACCTGGAACTGCAGCAGCTCCAGCTCCTCGTGGTCCAGCGGCTGCAGCGCGTACACCTTGCCGCTCTCCGCGTGCACCGACACGTAGCTCGACAGCGCGCGATCGCCCACCCGCCGCTCCACCAGCGAGTAGGACACCAGCGCGTTCTCCTGAGCGTCCGCGTCCCGCGCCGACACAGTGAAGATGTGGCAGCCCGGCGGGTTGTTCTCCTTCACGAAAACCGTGTACTCGGGCTGCTCGAACGCCGGCGCGTTGTCATTCACGTCGGCCACCTCCACGGACACGCTGGCCGTGGCCCACAGCGAAGGCGAGCCCCCGTCTCGCGCGGTCACCACCAGCTCATAGGCTGACACGCTCTCGCGGTCCAGGGCGCTGTCCAGCACCAACGAGTAGTAATTCTTGAAGGTGGACACCAGCTTGAATGGGACGTGTGGCGTCAGGGAGCAGGTGACATGTCCATTAGTGCCAGAGTCGCGATCCGACACGGTGATTAGAGCAATGACAGTGCCCAGGGAAGCGTTCTCTGAGATGGGAAGTGAGAGAGACGTTATTGAGACTTCCGGTGTGTTATCATTGATGTCCACAAGTTTTAATAAAATTTTACAATGTCCCGACATTGACGGGGTTCCTTTGTCAGTTGCAGTGACCTGAATCTCGTAGGATTTTGATTCTTCATAATCTAATTTTCCCTTAGTTCTGATTTCCCCTGAGCTGGGATCTATTTTAAACTTAGTCTGTGTAGTGGAGGACACATCACTACTGAGTGAATACACAATCTCGCTGTTTGATCCTTCATCTGCATCAGAAGCGTTTAATTTAACTACTAAGGTCCCATTTGCAGTATTCTCTAACAATTTTACTTTGTAAACTGATTGGGCAAAAGTTGGTTCATTGTCATTTACATCTAATACCTTAATAAGTATTTCAACGGTGCCCGTGAGCTCAGGTTTTCCCCCATCAGTAGCCACCAGTAACAAATTAATCTCGGCAGTTTCCTCTCTGTCCAGCGATTTCCCCAGGACGAGAGACAAAGATTGGCTTAGTTCATCATTTGTCTGTATATCTAGGAAGAAAAACTCACTGGAGCTGAGCTTGTAGGAGAGAAGAGCGTTTACTCCTATATCTGCATCAGATGCTCCCTCTAGAGGAAACCGAGAATCAATCAGCCTCGATTCGAAAAACCGGATAGTCTTTACTGTCATTGGAAATTCTGGTGGGTTGTCGTTAATGTCCTTAACCTCCACGTCCACGTGGAAAACCTGCAGCGGCCTGTCCACCATCACCTCCAGGTGGATGCTACACTCCGCGCTCCGCCCGCACAGCTCCTCCCTGTCGATCCGAGAATTCACAAACAAAATGCCATTCTGCAGATTTACCTCCAGTAGATCACCGTGTGTTTTGGACGCCACCCGGAACAGGCGCGGCACCAGCTCCGCCAGCTCCAGCCCCAGGTCCTGCGCGATGCGGCCCACGAAGGTGCCGTGTTTGGCCTCCTCGGAGACGGAGTAGTGGAGCTGACCGCTCCCCATTTCCCAGAATGCGAAGAGAAGAAGCCAGAGCAGCCGAGTCCAGGCCTTTCGGGCCCTTCTGATAGAAGACGCCATTGCCAATCCTCAGTGATTTGATCAAATTAGAAGAGCATCTTTTGCAAAAATTTAAATATTCGAATCCCTGTTAAAGTCCTGCTGCTTCCCTTATTCCTCCGCTTCTCTGGAGTAACAAAGGGGCTCCGGGTATTTTCCTTCCTAGAGAACACTCTATGGTAGACAGCGACATCATGTGGCTCTACTGTTTATTCTGTAGATTTAAAATTATTCAATTTTCTGGTCTAAGTTTACTCATAACTTTCATCTTGGAAAAATACCTATTTTAAGCCCTAAAATATATTAGCTTTTTACCTTTTTTCACTCTGGTAAAAACGCACAACATAAAAATTACCATATTAACTATGATTAAGTGTACATTTCAGTAATGTTAAGTATATTCACACTGTTATAAATTTTTCATCTTGGAAAACAGAAATTCTATACCCATTAGACAACAACTCCCCTTTTCACACTCACTCCAGTCTCTGGTAACCACAGTCCTATTTTCTATTTCTATGAATTTTGACTACTTGAGATATTTCATATAAGTGGACTCATACAGTATTTGTCTTTTTGTGACTGGCCTATTTCACTTCCCACAATGTCCTCAAGGTTCATCCATGTTGTAGCCTGTGACAGGATTTCGTTCCTTTTTAAGGCTGAATGATAGTCCATGACATATACACCAGGTTTTGTTTATTCATTCAAGCAACCGTGGACATTTGAATTGCTTCCATCTCTTGACTGTTGTGAACAATGCTGCCATGAACATGGATGTGCAAACACTTCTTCAATACCTTGCTGTTAATTCTTTTGGATATATTAACATTTCCCACTGTTTCTTCAAATGAAGAACATAGCAATCAAAGGTGTTTTAGTTCGTTGAAAATATATGTATATATACTGTTGTTTTGTGATTTAATTTTGATTTTTTAATTGTTTGCAGATGTTTGGAAATTAATAATTTTTTCTCATTTGGATAATGATTATTAATTTAGAATATTTCCTATTACATTTAGACTTTTATGCAAGAACAATATAATTGATATCTTTTTTAGTGTTAATTACTTGAGAATTTTTTTTGTTAATTTTTAGCTGATCCCGTCACAGTCAAAAAAAATGAAAATACAATAAAGATAAGATGAGGATGAAATAAAATGAATCAAGAAGTAGGATAGCATACAAAATGCCTAATAAAGGGTCACTTTCAGTTACTCTAAGCATGTCACAAATTTTGTTTTCAACTTCTTAGAGCAAAGAGAAAAGTAAAATTAATTGCAAAATTTGCAATGTCCATAAGAGAAAAGCAAAGCTCTTGTTAAGAAAAGCTAGCTTTTTTCCCAATAACAAGTTTTCCCTTGTGTACAGTATGTTAAGATACTTATTTGTACCATCTATGAAAGTGTATATTTACACTAATCATACTCTAATTATATTCATAACTGATTATTCATACTCTAATCATATTCATAACTATATTAATCATACTCATAACTGATTTAAGCAAAAACAAACCAGAGAATCACTTATTGGCTTGTACTTAAAAATGGGTAATTAATTACTGGTTTCAGGCAGAACTGAGTTTACACCCTTCCATAATTCTATAAGGAAAATAATCTCCACATTTATAACTCCTTTTCCTCTGCTGACCTTCTCAGTTAAACTTTTCCATGTGCTGGCAAAATGGCCAAAGTAGCTTTTTAGACTGCAAATTACCAGTGTAGTGACTCTCACCAGAAAGTGCCCTTTTCTAATAGTCAAGCAAAAATCCTGGATATTACTTCCTACAGCGAAGTTTGGATGACATAAATTTCCTTTAGTCAATAATTGCGATTGTTCTCACATTGGCTAGACGTGGTTCACTTGTTCATTCTTGAAGCCAGAAAATGAAATCAGTTCCACCTAAATTATGTGAACTGAAAAGTGGGAGGTTGGTTCTTAGGTGAACTGAAAAGCAGAGACCATGGCAGGCACCCAAATTCTCCTGGAGCTTAAACTAGTTGCAGATAGCTACAGAACTAGTCATTACAGCATTAGGTGGTTGCAAAGCAACTGCATATGTATGATACCCAGTAAGCATTACTTAATCTATGGCTAACATTGACCACTGTGGACACATAAAGGAATTATACCAGGAATCCAGATACTAGCTTCAGGAAACATGGCTTGCTTGAGACAATTTCTGAAATCATATAAAGTAATTGTACTGGATTTTCAGAATGATATATGTGGGGGTATAAGGACATTTTGTGCTGTTATTTAGGATTTCTGAGAATCTAGAATACTTCTCTCCCTCCCCTGGAGATAGAGTACTGTTGCCAGATATGCAAGTACATTTCCCCCACAATGGGGAAAAGAGACTAATCAGCCAAGCTCAGCAAATATCCCTCCTCCCCCTGATATCTCTTGGTACCTGTAGTGAGTCAAAGATACCCTAAAAGACATCTATGCTCAGGACCTCGGAAAGCGACCATATTTGGAACAAAGGTCTTTGCAGATATAATAAATGTGAGGATCTTGTTATGAGATCATCCTAGATTAGAGAAGGCCATACATCCATTGATGGTTTCCCCTTATAAAACACAGAAAAAGAGAAGGCATATAGTAACACAGGAAAGAAAGAAATGTGAAGACAAAGGCAGGAACTAGAGTTATGCTGCCACAAGCCAAGCAATGCCAAGAGCTACCAGAAGCTGGAAGATGCAAGAAAAAAATGTTCCCCTAAAATCTTCAGAGGAAATGTGGTCCAGGCAACACCTCGATTTTGGACTTCTGGCCTTTGTAAGAGAGAAGAGGTTTATTCTTACAGAGACTGTAAGAGAATAAATTTCTGTTATTTTAAGCCACAAAATCTATGGTAATTTGTTGCATCCGCCCAAGGAAACTAATAGAGTATCCATTGCTAAAATTATACTCTTTGAACCTATCTACTCAACTGTATATCCCATAACATTTACATGTCCAAGGACTCATTGTTGCAAAACCTTCAACCTAGTCTTTCACAAAACTACCGCAAGACCCCAGAAGAAGAAAACAACAAGGAGAATGGATGCTAAGCAAGAAAAAAAGAAGGAATATCTAAGACATTTTAAATTTCATCTTATTATTCAGTTTTATTATTTTTCGTCTGCTATTTAAGAAAAAGAAAGCAAAACAGTAGTTTTTTTTTTTTTTCATGGAATTCAAGTTATCTAATCTGCTTAACGGTCACATGTCTTATTAAAAAATATCAATAAAAATGTTCTCCTACAGTTGTATTTCCTGTTGTAAAAAAAATCTCACCTCTTAAAATTTATTCTGTTCATATTAGCTTAACGGTAGTGGGACCCCAATACATATGCTGTTGTGAGTTGATGTTCAGTTTTCCCTCTAAAATAAAAACAATTTTATTTCTTGTAAATACAATTGTGTTATTGGATATTTCCTATGACAGCTTTTCTCCACATGTTTGCTCAGCATCCCAGATTGTTTTGACTTTATGGCATCTCAATGTCAACCAGTGCTTATGTAATTGCTATAACAGGAAAAGAGAGCAGAAGTCTTTCACTGACAGTTACATAATTGTTCTTGGAAGTGACACACCATTCACTTTTCATTGGCCAAAGGACAATCACACAATTGTGCTACCTCAAAGCAACAGAAAAGTGAAATCCTCCAGCATTCTCAGAGGAATATTGGTAGTGGCCTCATCAAGGACCAATATAAACTATTTCTCATTTTCATCTATTTGCATCCTTGACTGACCACAAGTCTCTAATGTCCCTTAAATGATACTTGCTAATTTGTGGAAGACAAACCTACTGAAAGACATGTTAACTATATGAAGATTCAGAATGGAGCAAGAACTTTAACTACCAATGAGAAATCCATTCATATTTACATTAAAATAAATACTAAGTGACAATACCACTCCACAATCATCTTTTCCTCCATTCTAGAATCACCTTTTCGTAAAAATCACTTTTCAAATTTTATATTCATACACCCATTTCTTTTGGATTAATAGTAATTCACTATTATTTGAGATTCACCTTCAAGTTAATACCCTCAACTAACCTACAAAACTAAATAAAGAAATATTGAATGTATCTAAAGGCAATCCTGTCTGGACATTAATATTGTTAGCAAATGGGCTATGCATGGAAGCTCAAGCCTGTAATCCTAGCACTTTGGGAAGCCAAGGCAGGTGGATCATCTGAGGTCAGGAGTTCGAGACCAACCTGATCAACATGAAGAAGCCCTACTAAAAATACAAAATTAGCCAGGCACGGTGGTGCATGCTTGTAATCCCAGCTACCTGGAAGGCTGAGGCCATATATATATATATATATATATATATATATATATACAGCAAATAAAGCTTTGGGAACATAATAATGTGAATTGGAAAAAGAAATTATTTTGTGATTTTCTAATCTATTTTTCCAATTTTATAATCCTGCAATGTTTGTCTCATATTTTGAGGAACTGGGACACTTTCTTGGCAATATGATCCTGAGATCATTTTTTTCTGATTTTTGCCAAAAGGCTGAGTATGATAATATATTAAAAGTTACAGAATATGCTTACAGCCTATTTTTTACAATACTCTAAGCAACTGTAGAAGTTGATAATACTGTATCAACTCAAATCTCTGGAAACTTAACTAGCAAATTATATTAATTTCTCATAGAATGTCTTCACAAGGGGACATTCATGTATGTTTGAATGTTTGACAAAAATATATTTATTTAATACTTAAGTAACTTCAGAAGGAAACATAGGAAATAAAATTTAACATTATGCCCTTGACTGAATGACTAGCAAATGCAATATTGTCTACATCAAGTATATTTCCATAGGTTTTGCAAAACTGCTATAAAACATACTGCCCAATATATTGCTCAACCTTTACACAATCATCAGTAATCAAACCTTCCTTGATTTTATAGCAGAAAGAGGCTATTTTTTCTCTCTTGAAGAAATGGAATAGAGAATTTCTTTTTATTATTATTTTTCATGCTTCAATATTGACTTACAGGAAGGTAAGTATTAGAATTTGCACTTAGCCTAGGTTTGATTTTTGAAATGACTCCCACCTTTCTCTTGATCTTTTACTTTGGCTTTTAAGCAGATTTTTTTATAATTTGCTTTTGCAAATGTCTTCCACTGTAAGCTACCTTAAATATTTTAGGAAAGGTAAAGAACTGTATTAGATCAAGCAAGTTTTGAATATTCTTGGGAAATTTGAAGAAAACTTAGTAATAATACTGAACTTAGGTTTTCCGAGCCTCTGGACCTTTATCCACAAAATGTGACTAAAGCTTCCACTTCACAAAATAATTGGAAGGATAGAATTAGCTAAAAAGTAAAGAGTTTTAGAACATTTGTGAGTGAATGGGAGGTGCTTAATAATTGTTTCCTAACTGGATCCCCGAAATAGCAAATACATGCACTATTAGGCCTTCTAGACCCAGGGGAATTCAAGGTTAATGGCATCAGGAAATTGTTCACAATGACAATGAAGTCGAGGTTGTTGTTGTTTTTTAAATAAAGAAATTAAATCGCCCAATAAAATGGTGTTTTTTGTTTGTTTGGTTTGGTTTTTTGTTTGTGTGTTTGTTTTGAGTTTTTTTGTTGTTGTTATTGTTGTTTTTGAGATGGAACCTCACTTTGTTGTCCAGGTTAGAGTGCAGTGGTGCAATCTGGGTTCACTGCAACCTCCGCCTCCAGGGTTCAACCGATTCTCCTGCCTCAGCCTCCCTGAGTAGCTGGGATTACAGTTGCCCGCCACCAAGACTGGCTAATTTTTTTGTATTTTTAGTTGAGACAGGGTTCCACCACGTTGTCCAGGCTAGTCTCAAACTCCTGACCTCAGGTGATCTGCCGCGTTGGCCTCCCAAAGTGCTGGGATTACAGGGGTGAGCCACCACCCCTGGTGAATAAATGTATTTTAAATTACATTTGTTTAAAAATATTCAGTTTAGTGTTCACTTTGAAACTTATCCACGTAAAGGAAAGGCAGATGATTTCTGTAACTTCGCCTAGAATTGTTTGTATGGGGCTTGATATTTCACCGGATGATATAACATAATAAGTTACCCTGAATATGACAGTTATTTTACTGCATTGATATCCTGTGTTAAATACGATCATTACCTTGTGTTGTAGCTTTTTTTAACCTGCCTTTAAATCAAGAAATATGACAATTTGTGCCTACATTTTTTTTTTTTTTTTTTTTTTTTTGCTTTCTAGTTCCATTCAAGACAAAACTGCCATTAATAGAATATCTGCATTCACTGGTATGATTTGTTTCAATGTTAGTGAACACCCTGAAGACATTTTTTAAAGTGATCTTTTAAATGATTGTTAGACAAGTTAAATGTGAAAAATATTTAAAGCCAAAGCTCGAAAGTTGGACTTACATTACCGGAAAGATCCAAATTTTCTTCTGGTTGTTCATTTCTTTCTGACGTGTTAAGACTTGGAGGTAGGCCGGGGCTGAAGGCCATGAGGTCCGTCTTGGGTGGGCCCTCCGCAGAGCACACCCTCTGCTGCCTCTGCTGTGAGTTCGACCAGCTCCCCACTGCGCTGGAGCACACCAGAGTGGGCTTGCCGGGCGTGCACACACCCTCAGTGGGCGGTGCTGAGCACCGCAGCGCCGTGTGCAGCAGCAGCGTGAGCACCAGCAGGCTAGACACCGCACAGATGGCGATGATCAAGTACACGTTGACATCCACCAACTCCGCCTCTGCGCCCGCGGCACCCACCGATGCCCGCGACGAGGCCTTTGGCGCCTGGCCACTCTCCACCAGTGACACAAGCACAGTGGCCGTGGCTGTCAGGGCCGGCTCACCGTGGTCCTTCACCAGCACCAGAAGGCGGTGGCGTGGCAAGTCAGCCTCGTCCAGGACACGAGTCGTGCTGATCTCGCCCGTGTACAGTCCCACGCGGAACGGGACGCGCGCGCCACCTGCCGCCGATTGCAGCTCATAGGACAGCCACGCGTTGTAGCCTGAGTCGGCGTCCACTGCGCGCACCTTCGCCACCACATGACCCGCACCCACCAGTCGCGGCACCAGCTCACTGACTGCACCGCTAGTGCCACCCACTCGAGGCGCCAGCAGCGCCGGCGCGTTATCGTTCTCGTCCAGCACGAACACCTGCAGCGTCACGTTGCTGCCCAGAGGCGGCACGCCCGCGTCGCGCGCGCTCACCTGGAACTGCAGCAGCTCCAGCTCCTCGTGGTCCAGCGGCTGCAGCGCGTACACCTTGCCGCTCTCCGCGTGCACCGACACGTAGCTCGACAGCGCGCGATCGCCCACCCGTCGCTCCACCAGCGAGTAAGACACCAGCGCGTTCTCCTGAGCGTCCGCGTCCCGCGCCGACACAGTGAAGATGTGGCAGCCCGGCGGGTTGTTCTCCTTCACGAACACCGTGTACTCGGGCTGCGCGAAGGTCGGCGCGTTGTCGTTCACGTCGGCCACCTCCACGGACACGCTGGCCGTGGCCCACAGCGAAGGCGAACCCCTGTCCCGCGCGGTCACCACTAGCTCATAGACCGAGAGGCTCTCGCGGTCCAGGGCGCTGTCCAGCACCAACGAGTAGTAATTCCTGAAGGTGGACACCAGCTTGAAGGGGACATGGGGCATTAGGGAGCAGGTGACCTGCCCGTTGGCACCTGAGTCACGGTCAGACACGCTGATGAGGGCGATGACGGTGCTAAGTGGAGCGTCCTCTCTGATGGGCAAAGACAATGAAGTTACCGCCAGTTCTGGAGCATTATCATTTACATCCAGCAATTTCACCAAAACCTTGCAGTGATTTGACATTGGAGGACTTCCTTTATCAACTGCCTTTACTTGAATTTCGTAGAATTTTGTTTCTTCATAATCCAGTTTATCAATTAACCTAATTTCTCCCGAGCTGGAATCAACGTTGAATTTTCCTTGAATGTCAGGAGAAATACCACTGTCAAAGGAAAAGACAACTTCACCATTTGCACCTTCGTCAGCGTCAGAGGCATTTAATGTGGTCACTAATGTTCCATTTGCTGCAGTCTCTAATAAGTGGACTCTGTATACTGCTTGGTCAAATAGTGGGGCGTTATCATTAACGTCGAGCACTGTGATCAGCAGTTCAACTGTACCTTGCAGCTCCGGTTTGCCCCCGTCAGTGGCTGTTAATAATAAATGAAATTCTGGTGTTTCTTCTCTATCCAAAGATTTTCTCAATTCAAGCCAAAGAGATTTACTCAGTTCCTCACTTGCCTGTACATCCAAAGAGAAATAATCACTGGGGCTGAGGGTGTACGTTAGAAGAGCGTTAGCAGCAATGTCTGCATCGGCAGCTCCTTCTATCAGAAAACGCGAATCCAGGAGTCTAGATTCAGAAATGAATATTCTTTGTTCTCTGCTTCTGAAGACGGGTGGATTATCGTTAATATCTTTCACCTTCACCTCCACATGGAAAACCTGCAGCGGCCTGTCCACGATCACCTCCAGGTGGATGCTGCATTCCGCGCTCCGCCCGCACAGCTCCTCCCGGTCGATCCGAGAATTCACAAACAAAATGCCATTCTGTTGGTTTACCCCCAGAAGGTCCCCGCGGCCCTCGGACGCCACCCGGAACAGGCGCGGCACCAGCTCCTCCAGCTCCAGCCCCAGATCCTGAGCAATGCGGCCAACGAAAGTGCCGTGTCTGGCTTCCTCCGGGATCGAGTAATGGAGGTGGCCGCTCCCCACCTCCCAGGCTGCGAGGAGCAGAAACGAGAGAAGCAGGTCCCGGGTTCCCAGGTCTCCTCTCCTAGAAAACACCATTGCAAAAGCACTACACCGGTCTTACTGCTCTCTCCTTACTTCAAAATCATATTATTTTATCTAATATTCCCAATCATCTATCACCGTTTCGGTCTTCTCTCAGGCAGTGACAAAATGGAGCTTCCGCCTTTACTTTTAGTGATCACTATGTCCTTTCTATTGACAAGACTCTGTGGTATACAGCGACATCATGTGGCCAATGTTAATTTTAGGTCCATTCATTGATTTTCAAAATGCAATATCTATAACCGTCTGCAATGTATTCAATGCAATCATTTTCAATTCTATGTCCTTTAAAGGCCCAAGACTTTTAAAATCTCATTGGAGAGTATGTAATCCGGTATTTTCCTTTAGTAATGATTACAAATTTTATATTACAATTGAAATAGAAACTTTAGGACGTACTTAACCTCTCATTACATCATTTTATTTAAAACGATTTATCGGCTCATATATTTTTATTATAAATGTTTGCAACTGAATGTCAAAGTTTTAAAATTAGGTACTTTGGCTGCTAAAATTTAGCTTATTCTAGGATGGCCTGGATGTTTATTTTTTAAATGATATGATACACACACATACATATGTATATAGAGTTATCAGGTATTTACAGATGACATTTTTGGAAATTTTCTGAATACCTGTAAAATTCCTTTAATGTGGTATGAACAACTTCATCATTGTCTGATACTTTAAATGTTAGAATAAAGATATTTGTGACATTTTCCTTTGTTGCTTGTTATATAATGACCTAAATGTTGAACTTACAACTTTGACTTCCAAAAGTCAGTACCCCTAATTTATTCAGTGTACGCTAGATCTTTTATTCCTGTGTTAAATTTTCACCCACGCTTTTTTCTTATCAAGAACAAACATCATCATACTACGACAAAAATAATATGGATATTGAATTGCAATATCAGAGACACATATTGAGAATCTTAATATAGTCCATAGTCAAAAGAAAAATGTAAGTCTAATTCAAAGATATACTTTAAAAATAATTTGAGAATAACCTACCTATTAAAAAGCCTCTCTTTCAACTTCAGCCCAATTTATAATCAGAATCCCATAGCTACATCTTAGTTTGACTAAGAAATGTGATCAGAATAAGCTATCACTAGTTATTTTTAAAGGAATAACCATAATGTTTCTATATTAAGTATAAGAATATTTAAGAATATTAATATGAATAAGGATTATTTAATCCAGTATGTCTTCATAATCAGAAAGCCTAAGTCCTTGTTTGATAATTAAAATATAGATAAAACATGGAGCTATTTTATTTTTTAACAAGCAGTTTATATATTTTAACAGTAGTTCAATGTAATAGTTACTTTATTACAAAAGATACAGCAATATAAGATACATGAATTCTCTTAGTCCAAAAATGAAGCAAATTTTGAACTTGGAAACATTCTAAAGCTTAGCAGATTTAAAGAACATTGTCAACATTTGAAAGTGCAAAGTACTTTAATGTGTTAGAAATTTTGAAGAATGACACAGTGGTGAACTCTCTGGGTTTTTGCCATACCTATTCCAGACTTGTAGCAGAAGAAGCCAACAACACAGAAACATAAAAAGATAGGGATACAAATAGGGAAAAAAAAAAAAACTCCTAGATAATCATTTACTCCAGGTAATCACCACAGAAAAAAACTGTGGCCCTACATGAGCAAAAGTTGAGTGGGAAATCTAGATTTATACTCTTACAAAGCTGTTATGAGGAACCCCAATACTCCTGGTGGTATCAGATCAGGCCAAAATGTGAAACTGAGACTTTCATTTCCTCAAGTGCTAACAAGCTCCACAGTTGTGGTACCAGAGGAGGCCATGTGGGCAACCCAGACTAGTACCCCTATGCAGAAAATAACACGGTGCCACTTCTCCCTCTCTGCTGGGGTGGTGCATCAAACAATTTTGCATTGCTATAAGGGAATACCTGAGGCTAGGTAATCTATAAAGAAAAGAGGTTTATTTGGCTCATAATTCTCTAGGCTGTATAAGAAGCATAGTGCCAGCATCTGCTTTTGGTGAGGGCCTCAGGAAGCTTTCAACCACAACTAAAAGCAAAGAGGGAGCCAGCATATCACATAAGAGAGAGAGAAAGCAAGAGAGAGAGGGAGGAGGTGCCACACTCAGAAAAAAAAAAACAGATCTCATGTGAACTTATAGAGTGGGAACTCACTCATTACCAAGCACCAAGCCATTCATGAGGGATCCACCCCAATGACACAAACACCTGCAACTAGGTCCACCTCCAACATTGGGGATCACATTTCAACATGAGATTAGGAGGAGCCAAATATCCAAACCATATCATTCCACCCCTAGCTCTCTAAATCTCATGATCTTCTTACATTGCATAATCCAATTATTCCTTACCAATAGTTCCCCGAAAGTCTTCACTTGTTCCAGCATCAACTCAGTCAAAATTCCTAAGTCCCATCTGAGACTCAAGGCAAGTTCTTTCTACCAATAAGCCTATAAGATAAAAAAAAAAAAAAAAAAAAAAAAAAAAGAAAAAGGCGGGCCGGGCGCGGTGGCTCACGCTTGTAATCCCAGCACTTTGGGAGGCCGAGGCGGGTGGATCACGAGGTCAAGAGATCGAGACCATCCTGGTCAACATGGTGAAACCCCGCCTCTACTAAAAATACAAAAAATTAGCCGGGCATGGTGGCGCGTGCCTGTAATCCCAGCTACTCAGGAGGCTGAGGCAGGAGAATTGCCTGAACCCAGGAGGCGGAGGTTGCGGTGAGCCGAGATCGCGCCATTGCACTCCAGCCTGGGTAACAAGAGTAAAACCCTGTCTCAAAAAATAAAAAAGGCATTTACTTCCAAGATACAGTGATGGTACAGCATTCCATTGGGTAAACATTCCCATTCTAAAAGGAAGAAAATAGCCACAAGAAAGGAACAGCCCCACCCAAGTGAAACCACACAGGGCAGACTTTAAATCTTAAAGCTTTAAAATAATTACTCACTCCATGTCCTGTACCCAGGGCATACTGGCGCACAGAGCAGCCTCCTAAGGTCTTAGGCAGCCCCATCCCCATGGCTTTGTAGGATGCAACCCCACTGATGATATCATGGCTTGGAATTGAATGCCTGCAGCTTCTCCAGGCTCAGGGTGCAAGCTGCTGGTGGCATTCTCAGGTCATTCTTGGATCTAGAGGATGGTGGTCCCCTTCCCACAGCTCCACTAGAAAGTATGCTGGTGAAAACTCAGCGGGAGAGCTCCAATCCCACATTTACCCCAAGAATTGCTCTAGTAGAAGTTCTTTGTGGGAGCTCCACCCTGTGGCAGGCTTCTGCCTAGGCATGCAGGCTTTCTGATAGAACCTCTGAAATCTAGGTGGAAGCTGCCAAGCCTCCTTCACACTTGCATTCTGTGTGCCTACAGGCTTAACACCATGTGGAAGCCACCAAGGCTTATGGTGGCCTACACTGTCCAAAGCAGTGGCCAGAGCTGTACCTGTAGCCCTTTGAGGTCCAGCTGGAGCCAGAACAGTCAGGATCCTGGGAGCAGTGTCCCAAGGCTTCACATGCCAGCAGGGCCTTGGGACTGGTCCTCAAAATCATTCTTTCCTCCCAGGTCTCTGGATCTGTTATGAGAGGGGCTCTCTGGAAGATTTCTGAAATGGCTTGGATGCCTTTTCCCCATTATCTCAGGTATTAGCACTCGGCTCATTTTTAGTCATCCTAATCTCCATGGCAAATGTTTTCTCTGCAGCCCTCTTGAATCCATTTCCTGAAAATGCTTTTTCCTTCTCTTACTGCATGGCCAGGTTGTGACTGTTCCAAATTTTTACACTTCACTTCACTTTTAAATATAAGTTCCAACTTTAAGTCATTTATTTACTCCTATATCTAATCATAGGTTGTTAGAAGCAGCCATGCCATAACTTGAATGCTTCTCTGCTTAGAAATTTCTTCCACCAGATATCCTAGGTCATCATATACCTAAGTTCAACCTTCCACAAATCCCCAGGACATTGACACAGTGCAGCCAAGTCCTTTGCTAATGCATAATAAGAGTGACCTTTGCTCCAGTTCCCAAGAAATTCCTTATTTCCATCTGAGAACTCATCAGCCTGGTCTTCACTGTCCATATTTCTATTAGCATTTTTGTCACAACCACTTAACAAGCCTCTAAGAAGTTCCAAACTTTCCCTCATCTTCCTGTCTTCTTCTAAGACCTCCAAATTCTTCCAATCTCAGCCCGTTACCCAGCTCCAAAGCTACTTCCACATCTTCAGATATCTTTATAGCAACACTCCAGTCTTTGGTACCAATTTTCTGTATTAGTTCATTTTGTATTGCTGTAGAGAAATACCTGAGACTGGGCAATCTATAAAGAAAATAGGTGTATTTGCCTCAAGGTTCTGCATGCTGTACAGGAAGCAGGGTGCTGGCATCTGCTTCTGGTAAGGGCCTCAGGAAGCTGCCAATCATGGATGAACACAAAGGGAAGACCAGCATATCACATGATTAGAGAGATCAAGAAGAAAAGGAAGGCAATACCACACTCTTTTAAATAACTAGATCTTGTGTGAACTCAGAGTGGGAACTCACCCACTACCCCAAGAATAGCACCAAGTCATTCATGAGGGATGCACCCCTGTGACCCAAACACCTCCTGATAGCCTCACCTCCAATGTTAGGCATCACAATTCAACATGACATTTTAAGAGGACAAATATCCAGACGATGTTAGAGGAGGTTTAGTGGAGAGCCAAGACCTTTCACCATGTGAAAACAAGGGCATCTCTCTATGTTCTATGGAGAACATACGTGGAGCCAAAACTTCTACCCCACCTAGAAATATAGAGGACATGTCCATGCATTTGTCAGTGTAGGTCTACAGGAAACTTGAACTTTATCTTCAAGGGACACTAATGAGGTAGTGCCCAAGGCCTCTCTGATAGAGCAGTATCAAGAGAAACTAGCTAAAACAGAATAAATAAGCTCCAGAGTCTCAAAACATGATATAAAAATGTTCAAGTTTCAATATAAAGAAATTGCTCATTATACCAATGACCAAGAAGATAAATTAAATTTTAAAAATAACATACAGATGTCAACAATTAGATGAAAGAGCTGTTAGAATTCTCTGATAAAATTTTTAAAGGAGTCATCAAGAAAAGGCTTCAATAAGCAATTGCAAATATGCCTGAAACAAACAAACAAAAAAAAATAGAAAGCCTCGGCAATGAAATAGAAAGTCTCAGCAAAGAAATAGATGATGAAAAGAATGAAATGAAAATTTCAGGAAAAAAGTACAATAATCAAAATAAAAACCCAAATAGAAGAATGAAGTGGTCAAAAAGGAGAATAAGGAAACTAAAAGAAAAATAGAAATTACTGAATCTGGGCAGAGCACAGTGACTCACACCTGTAATCACAGCACTTTGGGAGGCGAAGGTGGGAGGATTGCTTAAGCCCAGGAGTTTGAGGTTATGGTGAACTATGATCATGTCACTACACTCCAGCCAGGGCAACAGAGCATGACCCAGTCTCTAAAAACATAACAAATAAATAA